TTTTGCTTCAATGATCTTATCGTTATTCCCATCATGGATGACAGAGTGATGCTCGGTCCTGTCCTTCCTGCACAGAGCTGTGTGAGCGCTTGGCGACTGCATTTGTGGGTGAGGAGCCTTTGGAATTTGGTGCAAGTGGCAGCAGTGTCCTCTCCCTCTCCACTATGGCATGGCAGCTCTCTAGAGCATCAGGAAACTGTTTAATTGGTTTTCCTTTTGATAACCATGGTGTACATGCCTGCTGGAGCAGCAGTAATATTTGGCAGTACTAGTAAATCCTTTCTGTAACTTCAGGCCTGAGGAATACTTACGCTTTTTTAAGTTACAATTTTTAAAAAAGTGTTTACTCCAAATTTGTGCTGCTTCACAGCTTTTCTGTGCTCTGACTGCAACAGCAGAAACAGAACTAGCCACAGGTTTTAAGTGAAAGGTTTGCCTTTTCCAAGGGAAATCACTTTTCATTTCAATCTTAGTCAAATTTTGGGTATGTTTTTCCTCATTATTTGGGATGAAATACCAACAAAAATTCTGTTTGGCCTGCTCCAATAATAAGTGCAAAAATAGAGCTGTTAATGTGGTACATAGTAGCATTGATAGCAACAACCATTTCCTTTTTGTGTAATATTACAAGAAACTCAACACTGAAAATTTTTTGAATGAACTGACACTTTTTTGCACTTCATAACACTCTTTACATATGAGGTCATCCTACTTTTTTGCTTTAAGGCAGAAAAATACTATTTCCTGAGGTGACAATGAACATAATCGAGTTCTCTACAGTTTTGCCAGAGCTGGTAAGGAGCCCAGATCACTAGTATCAGAAGTCTTGGCTTTTTAACCACACTCACTGAATGAGAGCATAAAACATGCTGATTGTGCTCTTTTAACCATTAGCAACATGTCCTTTCAGAGTCAGATATAAAAACCAGGATCTTTCATGGGGAGGTGGACAGTTGGGGGTTCTCACTTAACTTTATCTCTGGTAGCAGTAATCTGTGTTTATTAGTTTAAAGTTTCTGGTTTCCAGAACTGCTGATGACCGGTATATTGAGCCAGTGTAAGTTTGTGTGAGAGAAGCTGCGTGCAGCTGGGCTGGAAAAAGCCTTGGAGAAGGTGGTGACTTGGTATCACGCTGTGGAGACTCAGTGGGCTTAAAGCTCCTGCATTTCATGTTTGTCTGTTGGATTTTGTGGAAGGAAGCTTATACTAAGATAGTTAAACTGTGATGGTTGAATATCATCTTTGTTCCTTATGGGTCATAGAATAATTAACTTTACTGTATTTTTGTACTCTTTGGTATCTGTATTATTGGTTTCAGTAAAATTTATTTTGAATTCTAGAGATAAACTAATTATTTTTTTGTTGTTTTGCAAGAAGCCCTTCTGTTCCTTAGATGCTTCTTGCTAAGGCATGATTCTTTTCTTAAATTAGCAAAAATGCAGTGCAATTAAAAATTACGTTGCATATGTGTGGGGAAGTTCAGGAAAATATTGGGGCTCCTGTACCATGTGCTTGAATGTAATATTTAAACCTGTCATAGCTAGTCCAGCAGTTATCATACGATGTTTTCTAAGCTCTGCCATTCAAAAAAATTAAAATAAATTAATATTAAACTAATAGTTATCATATTTGCATATTTCAGTTTTACACAGTGGAACAAAAGCAGTTTAAAACTTTGGGGTCATTCTGCAATATCAAGATGACCACAGCTGTCTGCCACACTTGTATAGCAACTTTTCATGTCGCACAACTATGTCGTTGTGTTTGCCTGATTCTTTTAAAAAAAGATTTCATACCTGCCTTGGTTCCTCATAAATACTTTGCATTGTTTTCTGACAAAAATCATTACTTTTCTCTCATCAGTTAGTTGATCCAGTCCAATATCAATGCTGCACAATCTCAGTTACTGAAGGCACAATACAGTGCATTGGCAAACGTGTTAGAACAATTTGCAGTAATTTTGGCTAGGTCTTAGAGGAAGTGGAAAGTAATACAGATTAACTCAAAAGGCTACACATTCCCTTAGATGATCTGGAAAATAAGACAACGCCAGAAGGTAATTACAATAAGCATCCAATAGCAAAACTTGAAATTTTATGTTTTTTCCCTCTTGTTGTAGTAAGAAAATTTATGTTCTCTACTAGCCTCAACTGCAAAAATTCTGATTTTATTCTAAACACACTTGTGTATCACAGCAGAGAAATAAAACTCTATTCGTGTTGCACAAATATTACTTGGTCTCACTAATTTTTTTTCCTCCCATGCCCCCCCCCCATCTTCAGAGTTAATAAAATTTCAGTCTCCATGATAATACCTTGGAAGTAGCTCAGGGAGGGGGAGTTGTTTACATTAATCAGAGAAATAAATTTTAGCTATAGAGAATCTTGAGGGTGGAGTCAGCACTTGTTTATGGAGTTTGGCTTTCCTGTGTCCCCGCAGAGCGATTCCCAGTAATCATAGCCTTCCTTGTTTTCCCTTGAGCAAGGGCCTGTTATCGTGTTTCACGCTGTAGCCTGTGAGAAAGCTGAGGCTGGGCTGTCTTGTGTAGGCTTCGCCTGGCCGCGTGAACAGATTACAGCATTCCACTTGTTAGTACGAGCCACGGAGCAGAAATGTTTTACTGTTATGTTACTGGGCAATGATAAAGTTGGCGGTCTTTTTATGGTTAGGTCCTCAAAGTGGCAGTTCGTATTTTAGTGATAAGGAGACAGAGCTTTGGATATCAGACCCAGACGTATTATCTGTAACAGTGAACTGTGGCTTAAATCCTTCCACAATGACAGGAACCCCATCTAGAGTGAAGGTTTCCAGAATCTTAAACAGGAGATACTGAGGCATTTTCCTTCCTCATGAGTCAAAGCAGAGTTAACCCCATTGTTATCAAAAATAACCAGTCGCCAAGAGGAAGGATGCATTTTTATATTTAAATAAATCTCTTCCTTCATATTAGAACTTTGAGTATAGTTTTCAGACAGATCCGGGAGGATGAATTAGCAGCATTACGCTTAAAAGCTTTCACTTGATTGTTTTAGAATATTGAAAGAAGCACTAATGAAACTCCCATGCTGCAATACTTAAAATTGCTCTAATATTTTTCTCAAAGGAGGTGAACTAGACAGCATGTGTATGTCTTGCAAGATCGATCTTTATAGTATCTAAATACAGCTTCTAGTCATGTCTTGGGCGCTGCATATGCATGTTGATGCTGAGCACCATGTAAAGACATATTTGGATTCTATTTACAGAATTCTGTGTGTTGCGGGGTTAAGTGTAATCCAGATTATACAGTGTTAACATTTTCCCTACTGATATCAAAGTGTAGAAGACTGGCAGGCTGACTTGTTAGGAAGGGCTGGGAGAGGGATAACAGGCTCCGACCTTGAGAGGCCGAACAGCCGGCCCTTGTATGGCCAAGTCCATATACGTGTCCAGCTGATTGGTTAGAGGAGCAGGATCAGTGCTGTGACAGGTGTTGGAGGAAGCTACACCTGTTTTCCCCATATGCTGATTTAGTGATTACATTTTTGTGGGAGTTCCAGATACTGTGTGGGATACGCGGAGCAAGCCAAGAAACTTGAGAAGGAATTACAGCTTATGGTGACCTGTGATATTAAAGAATTTCAGACGGCATAATTGAATTTTCAAGTACTGCTTTAAAACTGAAGTAGAAACAGTCAATATTTTGCATGTATATGAATAGTGAGAAAGTCTTGTGTGCTTTTTATTGGACTAAAATTTAGTAGATAGCACTTTAAGAAAAAATGTTGATGAATACTGTAGTCTAAACTAAAACATAGGGTTTTTTTATCAGAAATTCAGTGTGTTATGGAAACCTATAACTTCTATAGGAGAACAAATGCAATGTCAGCATGCAGATTTCAAATCTTTAGGATTTTTAGTGTAAAATTAGTAGAATATAAATAACTTCTCACAAAAAAACCACAACTCCCCTCCTGCCTGTATAATCCTACTGCTGTCTTATGTACTGCTAATGTGTACCAGTTTAAAAATTTATATTGCTTTCCTTTTGAAACTTTTTTAAAGCATTAAAGATTTTTCCATAGGTGACATTTTAAATCTTGGTTTGTTATAAATGAGAACTTGCAAAGGTAGATTTCTGATTGTGTAATAGGGTGAAAAAGAAAAACAACAAGGAATACAAATATCTCTTAAAATTTGGTCACAAGTGGTTTGCTAGTTTCACATCCTTTCTTTCAGCAGCTTATTTGTAATGCCTAGATCGTAGACAGGTTTGGGTTTTTTTCCAGGGGATGTTGATGTGAGTTCTCCATCAAAAACCAGGAAGTAGCCCAATAAAGCAGTTGCATCAAGTTAGTCTAAAGGAGCCTGAAAAAACTTACGTTTAGCAAACTAAGTCATTTTAGAGAGGGATTATGTAATTTCTGTTTATAATTTTTTTGCAGTTCTTGTTATCATGCAGGATGACAGAAGTGCAGGAAAATCCTGCATTATAAACTACTGAGACCAAGTGTTACATATATTGATGTACTGCAGTTGTTGAATTTGATTGAAAATTTTAGCAACTGTGTTTCTCAGAGTTTAACTGTATGCTCTTTAAAGTGTGAGTATTAAAACTGGGATGCTAAAATCAATTTATTAAAGATACAGTAAACTGGCTTTTAATTACCAGTGATGACATAACTTCTTTGCCATAGACTTGAATGTTGCTTGTATGTCAGGCAACTTTACTCCATCAGCCAGTACCTAAAAACGGTTTTGCATGGAACGCTGGAGAGATGAAGTGCGTGTAGGTTAAAGTTACCCATGAGATGGCTCCTGGGAGAGTCTGTGCCTCTGAATGAACCTTTTCTGTTTGTGTACTATGCCACTATTTTGAAAGACTAAGCCTGTCTGTTGAACAGTGAGTTTTGTCTGTGAAAGTTTCATGTAGTTTCAGTGGCTCTGAATGATTCAGTAGTATACAAAACTTCTTGGCAAGTTAGTATGATTTGTATGTGAATTTTCCAATTGTATTTCAGACCTTAAGAAAGAAAGGCCTTAATGGTTGTGAGAGCCCTGATGCTGACGATTACTTTGAGCACAGTCCACTATCGGAGGACAGATTCAGCAAACTAAATGAAGATAGTGATTTTATTTTCAAGCGAGGCCCTGTAAGTACTTTTACTTTATCTCTACTTTTTATTTGTTGATCCTTTTTATTAACTTCATTATTTAGGCTCTGAACAAGAAGGAACACAGAGGGTGCGACAGCCCGGACCCTGACACTTCATATGTGCTCACGCCACATACAGAAGAAAAATATAAAAAAATTAATGAAGAGTTTGATAATATGATGCGGAATCATAAAATCGCAGTGAGTACTAAAGTATGGTTTGTGCTTCTATTACGTGCATGAGAATTTTCACGGTGTTTGCTTACCACTGAATACCACTGCAAAGACAAGAGGATGCAATGGTTGATGAGGGAATCTCTCTCTCTCTCTCTCTCTCTCTGAGGAAAAATGAGATGCTGATACTTGATCTTGTTAAATTACACTTTACCTTAAAGAATAAGATTTATCTCTAGCTTCTCTTTTGCACACACAGTTTTTCATACCTTGTGAACATGAGGTAACATTTCTAAATTTCAGGAGCCTAGCTGTAATGCCTAATCCTACCTAAAATATTTTTATGAAGATAGATTTTGTTGTGGGAAGTAGGATAGTTTATTTACATCTTGTAGCTCTTTATCTGTCTGATCAAGATTTTACAATATGTTACAAGCAGACAAATAGAATTGGATTAATTTTGTCATCAAATCAGTGGAATTTATTTTGCTGAAGTCTGGATGTAGAAGGGTATTTAGATGTTTAAAGACTGGTGCACCATGGGAGCCTCAAAAGATTGGTGTCTTACTCATATTGAAATTCTAACAGAATCTTCCTTGGATACTGAAAGATCTTTGAAAATTTTGTCCCAGGTGCCTAACCCATTTGCAGCCATAAGTCACTGAATTGCTTTAGAAATGATATGGTCTTATCCCATAGTGTGATCAGAGGATAATTTTTCATTTTAGTGTTACCTAATTCAAAAATGAAACTGTCGTTTTCTGAACCCCATATATTTACTGGGCAGATTATTCATGTTCTCCTCAGTTTCATATATACACTTCAATTTTGGGGGTCTAAGGCAAAAAGAAGATTTAGTGGATAAGAACTCTTGGAAGAGAATTATTGGGCTCCAGAACTCGAGAAGTTTGGAGATAACAGTAGTGTAAATTTTGCATGTTTTTCATGGAGGTGTACATGATGACATTTAATTTCCATCTGCTAAAACCAGTTAGTGTTGAGTATTACAGGGGAATTATTTTCTAAGAAAACTAATACAGGGTTCTGCCACAGCCTTTTGAATTTTTTAACATTGCAAATTTGTAGCAATTAAAGTAAATGGACTGGCTAGGTTAATCAGCACAGACCCTAGGGTAATTGAGTAGTGTGTCCCCAAATGACTTGCTGATACTAGAAATTATTTCATTGTTCAGAGCAGTGAGGCCATCTCTGGGGACTTAACAGCAAACTGACAGTCATGACACTCAGCATCAGTTCTTTTAGCAAGTTCTTTATACTTGAATGAAGCCAGTATCTTTTGTTCCTGCTTGGTTTTGAAGCTTTTGATATCCAACATTTCTGTGTTGAGACATCTTCTTCAGGCCTCATCTTTCAGTATAACACAGCTAAATTGCTCTCCCTTAATTTTCTGTGGTCTTCATGAACAGCCTAGACTGTCTGTGTGGACATCAGTGTAAATAAAAAAGGCAACATTATTTTTTACCTCTGTAGTTCTGTATTTACAGCTTAAATTGGACCTGTTATGGTTCTATTTCCAGTACTTATGGGTCTGTATAAGAACATAGTTTCTTTTGTTCTAGTGCACTCATTACTGTCAAAGGATAGGAATGAGGCAAACCATGAAGAATTCGGTCATAACCAAATGAGTACCATAGATGGGCAGAGGCAGCCTTTATTGTAAGGTGTGGGGGAAAGCTGTCATTTATTAGTTCTATATTGAGAAACCTACAGAAGAAATGTTCCAACTACTTCTAGCATTGTTTTTAAGCATACTTTCAGGTATTTCAAGTTTAGTTTGAGTTACTAGATAGCACGCTGTTTAAAAACAACCTTCTTTTGCAGATATTAAAAAGTTTCTTGAAGTAGTTTCCCGTGAAAACAAATACCAATACAGCTTGTCATTAGTTAGATACTGTGAATGATTTGCTAGCATTACGTCGCTATGCTTCATTACTTTTTCCTTCTGTCTGTGCCAAAAATTGATAATTATTCTTAGGAATGCTTCAGTGGGGACACTGTCATTGGCTCTGACTAGTAAGAGATTTTTTTTCATGTAGAGAATGTATTATGCTCTTTTAAGTAGTATAGTTATTGTTGTATTTCTAACGTTATCAAAATTGTCATACAGAAGTATCATTCTAAGTAAATTTTAAGCTGCACATGCTAAAAGTGCATTGTTTTAAGTATACTTACTAGGTCATGAATGTTTGCCATCTGCATTTGACCTCTAAATCAAAACTGTTTATCTCTCTATTCTGTCAATAAATACTACCGAATTTTTACCCTTAAATTGTACCTGCCATGGTTTTGTTTCCAGTATTTGAGAGTTGTGAAAGAAAATAGTCCCTTTTGTTTCAGAAACTCATCACTGTCAAAGGATAGGAATGAGACAAAGGCCAAAGAAGTTAGTCATAACCAAATGAGTACCATAGATGGGCAGGCATCTAAGCTTTTGATTCAAATAGTTGTTGAATAACAAACATATATAGTTCAGAAAAATAGTTGCCTTTTAAATAATGCTGTAAAAATTAGAATTTAAAAAAATGAGGTTTGCAAAAAAGCAAGATGGAGTGGTTATTCAAGCAGCATTTTGTGGAACACAGCTCAGAATAATGACAAGTGAAATGTTTAAATTCAAATTACTGAACTTAGTGAATTTCTAAAGATCTGTTTACTATTTATAGTTTGAAAAAGAAAGCTTTAGAGATTAGTAGCAATATTTTGGCAAGGTTGTTAATAGAAAATGTTATTACTAACTTTTTCTTTTTTGTGTAATAACTGACTATGTTGTAATGTGCATGTTTATGCTTACATTTTGAAGGTGCAACAGTTCATTGATTTGTAGACATGTTTAGCTTGTCATTGCTTTGTAATAATCCAAATTAACTGTGATAAATTTGTTGTATTTCTGAGCTTGTGAATTTATATGAATATCTTCAGTTTTTTGTGTTTGAACTTTCAGTATTTCAGAAGTTTGAGTAATTCTTTTGGAACTGTATTTATATGATGTATAAGAGTTTAACACCATACTCTACAACAAATGGATGTTTTAAAATTGTATGCTTAATAGAGTTTAAAAACTAACATAATTAACTTTTTTTTAAACCTGAGTAATTCTTAGCAAACTTTAATGTGTATTTTTATGATGTACTATTTCTGCAAACATAGTTAATGCTAATGTTGTTGTCTTGTGTGTATTCCTTGTCATCTTTCCTCCAGCCTGGCTTGCCTGCTCAGAACTTCTCGATGTCGGTTACAGTTCCAGTGTCCAATCCCAACACGTTAACCTACAGTAACCCAGGGAGTTCCCTTGTATCCCCATCACTGGCTGCCAGTTCATCGTTAACAGACACGACCATGCTCTCTCCACCTCAGACCACCCTGCATCGGAACGTATCACCTGGGGCCCCTCAGAGACCACCAAGTACTGGCAATGCAGGTAAGATTTCAGTACTGTTGTGCTTTCCTTTTTTACCCTCTTTTTTTTTTTTTTTTAAAAAAAAAAAAAAAAAAAAAAAAAACACACAAACAACAACAAAAAAGTAACAAGTTCTTAATGTATCAGTGTGTTTTCTTTTTTTTAACAGCTTAAGTTTTGAAGTACAAAATGATATGATACTGTAATGAGAGCAAGTTAGTTTAATGCTCTGGTTTATTTTTATTAGGTGGTATGCTGGGGACAACTGACCTCACAGTGCCAAATGGAGCTGGTACCAGTCCAGTTGGTAAGTGCAGTATCATGTCTTTGTTGAAAAATAGTGTTGTGGTTTTAGTTTCACAGTTACTTAAAAGCAATTTTTTATTCTGACTCTTTTGAAAAAGTGGTTGTGGAAGAACAAAGATCATAATTTTCTTAGTTGCCTCGTAATTGTCAAGTCTTGTAAATTCTTATCAGGCATTTAACTTTTTACTGCCATGCCCTTTCCACTTCAGTAATATTTGCATTTTTTATTTTAGTGGTTTTCAGTAGTGGCATGCTGCTCTTGCTTTGTGTTTCTCTACAGGTGTAATTACAGCACCCTAATAGAGATCTTATGTTCGCCAAATTTCTTACTTGGTATGAAATTCACTGTGCTTAAACTACTACACTAAAGACAACTCGGCTGTTGTACTCAGCTTTATTCACAAGACCTGGATGTTTGATACTGGTTGTAGTGCCAATCAAAATGAGGAAAATACAGACTGTATTGTTGTATTGCCATGTGTATCTTGCTAATTATTTTCTAGCAGTTATACAAAGAAGGCAGTAAATCTTGGAAGCTGATAGCTAGGTTCTGTCTTAATTTTGGAAGATGATCAGAATTTCTCTCAAAAACAAATTAGAGATCTTGCTAAAAGTCAAATTCACAGTATTTTTTGGTCTTCAGTAAAAAGATATGATAGCACTTTTTCATTTAGATAATACTTTGTCTCCCCTAAACAAAATTTAGTACTCTGATAGACGGCAGGCAGCCACTGAAATTTATCACGCCGCAGAAAGGCAAAATAAATGACAGCTCACCCACTTCCTTCACGTTCTTCCATTCCTTGAGATGTCTTGGTAACTGAAGGTCAATTTTGGACATACACATAACTCTCCTTGGTATGTGTTCATAGCAAGGAATTAGAGAAGCAACTGTTGACCTTTCAGTATTTGCCCACTGGCTACTTAGTGTGGCAACTGGGAAAAAGTTATTTGAAGATAAAGTCAGGCAATTGAATTTATGAATAAAAAATGCTGCAACTACAAGGCTGAAAGCACAGGATTGACCTTCCACTCTTCATCCATTCTTTGGTTATGTGCAGCGAAGATATGAAATATTAAAGTGTGGTTTCCATCAGGTAAGCAAGATTTTAAATGGAGGAAGCTTCCTCAGTTGAAAAAAGATGACTGTTTTTAGAAACTGTGGAGGTCAGATGTTGATTTCCATAGTATTCCTCAAGTCAGACTAAATAAGTTTTTACTATCAAGCCATTTCAGGCCTCTTCTCCAAAATCAGGCTTTAGTAACAGCAGCCTCAGATTGAAGACTACTTCTTTCAATAAGCAAATAAAACAGTTGTTTACAGCAGCTGCTATAGAATATTAAACTGTAGAAATACCCAGTTACAGCAGCTTGGTGAACATATTTAATGAAGTAAAATGTTTTCCTTCTTGCGTTTATTAATAGTTTATGTGAAAAGTCAAAATGCATCGCTTATCTCTTACTTTCCAGAACATCGCACCCAAAATGTTATACATATACCCACTCATTTCTAGAAAGATTTTTCATATAAGTAAAGAGTTGTGGCTATACAAGAACAGTGGAATATCTATAAGAAATACGTCTAGCAAAACTCAAATATCTAGTTGATACCAGAATGCTAAGCCACAGAATACCCTAAGTTATCAGAGCTCCACTTTCTACTAGGATAATGGCATGGCTTCTTTTAAATACTGTCAGGTGCACTGTAACCATCTCAATTGCAACCAAAATCAAGAAACCATACATAACCAGATTGAGTAAATCTGCTAACTTGTCAATTTGAGCCTGACAGCTGCCATTGAAGTGTGTGTATCAAGTTAATTATGTCTTCAGAGAACAACGGTTTTAGTTTCTTGCTACATTTATTGTAGAATTCACTTTGAAAAAATATATTTTCTTCTTTTAGCTGTCAATCTTTTCTTTTAAACTTCTCAGGAATGGAGACTTCTGTGGATATAGTTGTGAAAGGTCATGTGTCAAATTTGCAGCTCACAATTGATAGGAGAGTTGTCAAAGATAAAGATGGAGTACTGGCATAGCCATATTCCCAGATATTCTCTTATAGACAAAGGAAAAACCCAAGTCTTACTTGACATTATGAAATTTTGAGCATTTGAGATTTTGTTCTCATTTCATTGAAATATACTTACACACCTTCATCTCTGAGTAAAAAGCAAGTAAAGGTTATCTTGCATAGTTGGGACCCAGTTCAAACAAAGATGTTGCATAAAATGGCTCATATTTAGTTCACGAGTCTTTTTCTCAAGTCCTGTGTAACTTGATTGGAATAGATATGATTTGCTTTAACAGTCAATCTGCCAACATAACAGTTTTTCTGTGGAAAATAACTTTGAGTAAAAATGTGTGTTGTAGCAAAGATTAGTAGGTGGTTTTTTTTATGTCCAGAACAAAAAATTGTGATAACTTTATAATACTGAGAGCTTATTTCACATGCAGCTGTCATAACTCTGAAAAAGCATTTTTATTTTGTAATATTTCTAAAATTTTACCCACCACATAAAAAACATTTGCTGAAAATTTTACTTGGCAAGTATATCAGTTTTGAGAGGGGAAAAATGTCTGGCATTATGACAGTGTTTGCTTTTGAGCTAATTTATTTTTTCTGTTAATTAGATCAAATGTTTTGGAGCTAGAATTTTCATGAAACTGTCGCCCATGGTCAGTGTTAAACCCCATTCAGTTTGTGGTGGGCATCTAATATGCTTCAAGAATCTCTTTATCACCAGGATGTGTACAACTTGCTATTTGTTGTCAGCATCATCTTGGCTTGAACACATGCTGCATGTCTATATAACTCCTTTCAAAAGGCTGTGGATTCTAATCAGACAAAGTATAGCCTCACTTGCTCTGAGTACCCAAATAAGGGGGAGAATTTCTTTGACTTTGAACTGAAAGGACTTGATGGATGGATCACCTTCAAATTTCTCATGAGGTCTGCTTCACTATGTTCCAGTAGATTCGGTATTATACCTTGAATCATCCAGAGACTGCCAATGAAGTGCACTTCCAGTGAAGTTGTCCCATCCTTGAGGACTCTGAGAATCAGAAAGGCTCAAAAGAATTACCCCTGTTACCCAATCTCTACTTTTTCTTCCATACCTTTCATGTATGGCATTGAGCTAGAACCATGCAAAGGACCTGAGCTGGTTTTCATTGCCAAGGCTGCATGAGAAGCGTAAACTCTGAGACCTTTCAACTAAGATGAGTTCCCTAAGTTCTTCCCAGTCCTAGGTGATTTTGAAGGAGTTGTTGGAAGTGGAGGCTCTTTATGATCTTGCAAGGACACAGTATTATCTGTCTATACAATTCTTTGTCAGTGAAGTAGCCCTTCTGGTCAGTAATGCAGACTATGGATCCATTTAATCTTCTGGGAAGTTATCTTCCCTCTTACAATTTTATCATCAGGAGAATGGATAAGAAAGATCTAGTCTTGAGTACTGAATTTTTCCTTTTTGCCCCAGAGCTGTATCTTCTCTAATGTCCTCGCTAATCTTCAGATTCTGAGAATGTGAAGTAACTGTAGGAATATTGAATTTCTTTGGAATAGAGCTGAAGGATATACCTGCTTGAAAAACTTGTGTCTTGAGCTATTGGATCTCTATGCCAAGCTAGATCATGTGTGATCTTTTATCCTGGCCTCAGGAAGGATTATGCAGAGGTGCAACTGACAGCTTGCATGCACCTGTAAACTGCTTGTATATTGCCAGAAAGGGATCAAGACAAAGAACTGTGAAAGGCCACACCTGTAAATGGTTCACTTTGTGTTGAGGGCTTGGCTGATTGGGAGAGCTTTTTCTGCGTGTCTGAGGATAAAAGAATCTTTCGGCTTGGTCTTTACAAGTCTGAGTCAAGTGGCTAATATGCTGCAATTCTTCAAAGTACACCGGAAGGCTTCAACAACAAAACAATTTTCTGTGCATACCTTTCTATTCATGTTGTTTTGTTTATTAAATGAGAGACACCCCAATGAGAAGTATCAAACTAACTCTGGGAAAAACATACCTCTTGCAGGAATTTTGCTTGAAACTGGATCGATGCTATCAGCCTCTTCCTTAAGAAAACAGACTTTCTTCTCCCTCCATCCCCACTCTCAAACTCACCAGCCTGGATCATCTGCATCAGCCAAAAACCTTGGCACTGTTGTTGTAGACAACCGCCTTAGGAAAGCAGCTGTAAACCTTGAGCATATTCCTACTTAAGGTTATGCGTTACTGGTGGTATTTCTAATCTGCTATACTTTCTCTTCAGTGTGACAGGTAGTATCTGTCACAGGTAGTCTTGCGCTAGACAGAGCTCCTCACTTCCTAGCTTGTATTGAAAGGGCTTTGACTTAAGAATGTGTGTTCTACTGGTGCTAAATGCAGTGGACAAAGGTTCTTGCTCTGTAATGTCAATAGAGTTGGCATAATGTTTTGCTTTGCTCTGATCTTTAAGATTACACAGATAAATAAAACAGTCAGTGTTTCATCCTTCTCCAAGGAAGAAGTTGAAGGATCTCTGAAGAACATGGAGAGCAGCCTATTTACTCTTAACAGCTTCCAAGTGCTCCTCAAGGAAAAGGAGTACTGAAAGTGGACTGCAGACCAGCTGTTTCACAGGGTGCAAGCTGAACCCTTTTCCTTTGCTAGACGTTGTCAGCACTTAACAAAGTTTGATCCATCCATCATCCTCTGATTAGATCAGCTCACAAGAAATGACTGGCTGAAATCAGCATGAAAAACATGCTGGTAGAAGAAAGCATTTGATATGGTGGTGTTTTTTGGTTTTTTTTGTTTTTTTTTTTAAATTGCAGCAATCTCTCCTTGGAAACCACCCATCACATGTGGTCAGTTCAGTCCCTGAACTACCCTTAGATTTCAGTTGAAACTTCATATATTGTTATGTATGTTCATTATCTTACCATAATTTCTGATTTACTAAGAGGTACAATACAATTCTGGTTAGAATTTGCCACATGTATAACAAATCATTAATCTCCCA